TTGCATTTTTATTAGTCATGTTTTTTCCGTTTGTGGGAGTTAAAGAATCTTTCTAATGTCGATTGCTTTTCTCTTTTCTTCGAGATTTTTCAGAAGTAATTAATAGTATTGTAACTGTAGAGATCCCCAACTCCATTAACCTTATTCTGGTTTGGATGCTACTCGAATGATCGTTGTTCTGACATCCTCCCACTTCTTCAAAAGATCTTAAGTAGCAGATGTCGACATTGGCTTTCGTCTTCCTCTTTTTCAAAAGAAAACACATCTCGCTGAGTTTCTTGGTATTCTTGATTTGAGAGTTCTTGGAGTTCTTCTGTCATCAGATCAGTTTCAGGTTCCATTATGAGCTCTAAAATGCTGTTTATTTCTCAGATATGATTTTCATTATTCCATTAGCAGCAGCTTGAGATTTCTTGATATATCTTTCATAGCTAAGATTGTGCTTACCTGTTCAAGCCATACTGTCTAGCAACATCAGACATCTTGTGCCCACTTTCTACCTTGGTTATTATCTCTTACTTGGTTTCTACAGTGAGCACAGTTCTTGACACTCCTCTTTTTAGGCTCCATAATATTATCAGTTTCTTTTTTAAATAAAAAGCACTTAAATGGGACAGTTAAACTTTCACCTTTCATAAATAAACCCCCAACACAAAACTTAACAATTGCCCATCCAACAGTCTTGTGAAGACTGTAAAAAACTATTTGTCAGAAAGGTAAACAAAAAGCTGGAATTATAAGGGAGAGTTTCAAAATTTGGAGGAATATTATTCAGTAAAGAGTTCGTTATCCGATCATAAAAATCTTTTGCGAAAGTGTTCGTTATCCAATTTGTTCACTATCCGAACTGTTCGTTAACTGATCACCCACTGTACTTCAATTCTAATTATTAACTTAGCCTTATTATAGCCAGATAATTTGGCAGAACATCTAGCTTTATTTAAAACTAATCAGAATTGTGGAATTGTTGTTTACATATATATATTCCATGCTGGGTAAAAACAATAGTTGTCTGAGTGCCATAGAGGTGGGCTGTGAGTGTTTAAATCATCCCCAGTTAGCACCTTAAGTAACCTCATAGTTATATCCAAATGAATAGTTCTAGAAGTAAAGATTGGATGGAGGTACAGGTAATGTAACTGGCAACACATTGGCACAATAAGTAGAAATTATGGGTTTGAGTTCCACTCAGGGCAGATTCATTTCTTTCAGAAATTTGAAATTAAAAATTAATTTATTACAATTATTAAAATTAACATAAAATGACAGCCTAACCTCTTACCTCTAGATAAATTATTTTGTTGAAGGGAGGCCAGTATTTAAATGAACCTTAACTTTCTAATTATGAGTGGTTATTTGTTTTGTGAGCAATAAAATAATTTAAAAATAATTTTTAATGATACAATAGCGACGATTATTATTTTTAAAAAAATTTGTTAGGCTTAACATCAATGAAAATTCAACGCAAAGTAGGTTAATAGCGATATACTAATATACTAATTACATGGATATACTAATATACTATACTAATAATGTATTTTTTTCATTCTTTTCGGTTATCCAATTTTTTTCAGTTATCTGACCAATCCGAGTCCCCAATTGAGTCGGATAATCGATGCTCTACTTGTATATGTAAAAACTTTGACAATAACAACTACAAATCTGATTACTTTTAAATAAGACCAGATGATTTGCTATAACAAGGCTAAGTTAATAATTAGATTGTATCGTTATGCTATTGCTATTGTATCGTTAAAAATTATTTTTAAATTATTTTATTGCTCACAAAACAAATAACCACTCATAATTAGAAAATTAAGTTTCATTTAAATACTGGCCTCCCTTCAACAAAATAATTTATCTAGAGGTAAGAGGTTAGGCTGTCATTTTATGTTAATTTTAATAATTGTAATAAATTAATTTTTAATTTCAAATTTCTGAAAGAAATGAATCTGCCCTGAGTGGAACTCAAACCCATAATTTCTACTTATTGTGCCAATGTGTTGCCAGTTACATTACCTGTACCTCCATCCAATCTTTACTTCTAGAACTATTCATTTGGATATAACTATGAGGTTACTTAAGGTGCTAACTGGGGATGATTTAAACACTCACAGCCCACCTCTATGGCACTCAGACAACTATTGTTTTTACCCAGCATGGAATATATATATGTAAACAACAATTCCACAATTCTGATTAGTTTTAAATAAAGCTAGATGTTCTGCCAAATTATCTGGCTATAATAAGGCTAAGTTAATAATTAGAATTGAAGTACAGTGGGTGATCAGTTAACGAACAGTTCGGATAGTGAACAAATTGGATAACGAACACTTTCGCAAAAGATTTTTATGATCGGATAACGAACTCTTTACTGAATAATATTCCTCCAAATTTTGAAACTCTCCCTTATAATTCCAGCTTTTTGTTTACCTTTCTGACAAATAGTTTTTTACAGTCTTCACAAGACTGTTGGATGGGCAATTGTTAAGTTTTGTGTTGGGGGTTTATTTATGAAAGGTGAAAGTTTAACTGTCCCATTTAAGTGCTTTTTATTTAAAAAAGAAACTGATAATATTATGGAGCCTAAAAAGAGGAGTGTCAAGAACTGTGCTCACTGTAGAAACCAAGTAAGAGATAATAACCAAGGTAGAAAGTGGGCACAAGATGTCTGATGTTGCTAGACAGTATGGCTTGAACAGGTAAGCACAATCTTAGCTATGAAAGATATATCAAGAAATCTCAAGCTGCTGCTAATGGAATAATGAAAATCATATCTGAGAAATAAACAGCATTTTAGAGCTCATAATGGAACCTGAAACTGATCTGATGACAGAAGAACTCCAAGAACTCTCAAATCAAGAATACCAAGAAACTCAGCGAGATGTGTTTTCTTTTGAAAAAGAGGAAGACGAAAGCCAATGTCGACATCTGCTACTTAAGATCTTTTGAAGAAGTGGGAGGATGTCAGAACAACGATCATTCGAGTAGCATCCAAACCAGAATAAGGTTAATGGAGTTGGGGATCTCTACAGTTACAATACTATTAATTACTTCTGAAAAATCTCGAAGAAAAGAGAAAAGCAATCGACATTAGAAAGATTCTTTAACTCCCACAAACGGAAAAAACATGACTAATAAAAATGCAAGACTGTGTATATATGTATTTTTACTATTACATGTAAATAAATGTAGTAAGAAAGTATATATTTTTGTATTTTTTGGAGTGTCCAGAATGAATTAATCAAATTCCCATAAAAACCTATGGTAAATAGATAATTGGATAACGAACAAAGTCTTGAAATGGATTACGTTCGTTAACCGATCACCCACTGTAATTTGTCTAAAATTCTGGAACTGGAGATTGGACAGAGGTCAATGTAGTGTAACTGGCAACATATCTACATGGTAAGTTGCAGGTTCAAATTAATCAGCTCATTTTTTCTTCCAGAAATTCTAAATGAAAAATTAATTTATTAAAATTATCATGATATGGTGGCCTAACTGCCTAATCTAAACAAATTACTTAATTTCTATTAACTTAGCCTTATTAAAGCTTGATAATTTAGCAGATCATCTAGCCTTATTTAAAGTTTTTACTTTCAATTTTATATTAAATTTTCATTAATATATTTAACATATAATAATTTACTTTTTATAGTCAATGCATTTTTAGTTGATATGGTTTCAAAGCATGAATTATTAGAACACATTTTAAAAATTTCATATAGTTTATTTTTTTATTCAAAGTTAGACATCTAAAGCTGAACTCTGTGTATTAGAATGAATCAAATGAAATTGAGGTAATACAATTTATTCATCAACTGGTGTGTTTAGATTAAAAGTAATTGCCACCAGCATTGAGGATTTATCCTGCTTCCTTATGAGCCTGATGATTTCATGCTTGTAGGATTTTTTTGTCTTTTAATGGAAGAAACCTGTGATTACCTCTTTCACTTCATCTTCTGATGCAAACCTGTGACCTTTTAGCTGTTTTTTTATGTCACCAAAAATGAGTAAATTTTATGGGAGCAATATTGAGGCTGTGATGTATAATGTGTTGTTTTCCACTTCAGTTTTTCAAATGTGTCTAGTCATTCTGCTTGCATGGGGTTTCACATTGTCATGCAGTAAGATTATATCTTTTTTCAATAAACTGGATATTTGTTCTTTATTGCCATGTATAGATGTTGCAAGATTTTATGATATTAGACAGCATCGATGCTTTTGCCTCTCCTTCAAAATTTAATGATCACTGGACTGTTGTGGTCAAAGAAAATCTTAGCAGTCTCTTTTCTGCTTAAATGAGCAACTGTGTTTTTTGGGGATGATGATGATAAAGTTTTCACTGAAAGTTTTGCTGGCTCATACTGGTGACAGATAAATCTGCTGAATGATGATATTGTTAAGTTAGCTTTGAAGACAATGATGTCAAAAAGGATGAAAATTGAATGCTCTGATAAGTCTTCAATGAATAATTATGATTTATTCTGGTGCTGTGTGTTTTATGAATTAAAGTAATAGTCTTATTTAGGGATATAATAAAAAAAAAATGTTTAGCTGGATTGAGTTTGATAATTTTTGTTATTGATATTTTGTTTTTGATTTTGCAAATAGATGATATTCTAGCATGTTTGATAAAAAAAAATTAAACTAAATGATATCTTTTCATTTAATAAAGAGATTTAACTTAAGAATGAATTATACTTTTTTTTTTTAAATTAATAATAATTTTAATCTTCATTTATGAGAATTTGTTTCAGAAACAACTTTTCATAAATGCAATAGATTCCTAAATCCATTATGTATAGTAGGTTTAATAATATAACACTTACTGTTGTTTAAAGCAGAAGATTTATAGTTTAAATTTTAAGTTTGAATAGTTTTGAATTTTTATTTTATTCTGCTATAATTACATATAATGCAATAAGTTTATTATTATTATTTACTTAATTATTCTATGATGATGATAAAAATAATAATAATTTCATTTATTAAAGATCATCAAAATTGGTTTGGAATTGATGAAACTCTTGGTCCTGTTGCAATAAGTATTCGGCGAGAAAAGGTTGAGCATTTAGATTTAATAAATAGTTCAAATCTAGGAAGTACAAATAATATAATGCCTGTTCAGTATCAGTTTAGATTGATTGTTCGTACTAGTGAGGTAAGCAATATAATATATATATTTATTATTTATTATGTTTTTTTTATATAGATACAAACCAAACAATTATTTATCCATTTAAATAAAACTTAAGACTGTATTAGATTAAAATAGAATCTGCTTCATATAAGATAGGTGTATTTTATGACTATGGCTTCTATAATTTCTGTAATATTTTCACACTTTAAAAATTGGTAAATTTCCAGAAAAAGTAAATTTAATAAATATTGCATTCACTATATATAACTATACATATATAATTTTATATTCCAAATATAAGGTTACGTAAATTATTTGATATAAATACTTGAATTGAGATGACTAGAATCAAACCATTTTTACAAATCATAATCCATTATGTTCATCTGCAGTAGAAGTGCTTCAAATGAGAAACATGATACAAAGCAAAACATATTCTTTGAATGATTTTAAAATTTTTGTTTACTTTAAAATTGTATGTATATTGATGTATGTGGGACATACAGGGTGTAATGTCACAACTTTAAGGGGTGATAGAACATGACAAAAGTAACAATTGTCGTAATACAATGCATGGTAAAATGTGAACACAGTAAATATAAAGAACATGGAAAATGAAAATTGTTTTAATCATGGATATTTATAAGAAATAATGTTTTATTTTACAAGAATTGTTCAAATGAATGACCACCAATACATGCATCACAATGGTGATGAAGTGATTGGCATACACTTTGGAAGATACCCAGCATGTCAAGTACGTCTGCAGCAGCAGCACTAATTCTGGCGATAGGATCTTTGGGAGACTCAATAAGAATTTTATAAATAAGGCTTTTTAGATGTGAGCAAGGAACAACCTCATTTCACACAGTTATCTCTGCAGACACTGAAAGGGAACCGGCCTATTAGGAAAATTCTCCTGGTAAAGTCATTGTGTTTCAACAGAATTGCTATTTGCAGCACTATACATGAAGTACATATCAGCATTTGAATATTGTTGTATTTCTGTGGCCATACAACTTTCTAATAACTATATGTGCAAGACGTGGCCCTTCTCACCAGAAAGTTCCCTTTTGTGGCAAACCACTCGACTTCTGACCACACATATATTACAATTATTACTTTTGCCATGTTCTATTACCACTTAAAGTTGTGACAATCTTTCCTGATACACACTGTATATGTGCATAGTATAAAGTACTATATAAATTTTGTGACTCACTAGGCAAAAAATTTTTTATTAATGGTATCATATAAAGGAGTTACTTTTCAATTACCTTTCTTTTGTCTTCTGGTTTCTTCATTTACTTTTTTTTTTTTAATTAAAAATGGCCCAAACTTGTTTATGCTCTTTTTTTCATTAAAAAATAAAAGATTGCTTGACTTGTAACTTAATTAAATTTGGTAAAATATTTTATAAAAATGCATATCACAGTATCACAACTATTGCTAAATATTATTTGTTGCTTTAATAAAATTCATACAGCATAATCTCAAAAATTTTTGGTGAATAATTTTTTAGAGTATTCTCATCTAAATACAATATATTAATAATTCAACATAACTGATATTTGATTGTTTCTACATAATTTTTAAATATGAAAAACAAACTTCTTATTTAAGGAAACCAATTTTTGATTTCCTTTAAATAAGTAGTAAAATATGGTACCAAATATGATTTTGTTCAATTTTAAGATTATTTGTAAATATTAAAATACTATATCTAATGACAAAAATATATGTAATAAATTTTATAGTTGACTGTGATGAGAGGAACAATTTTAGAAGAAGCTATTCCATCTCTTGCTCGAACTAATGCTACCAGAGGAAATTATGTAAGAGAGGTTCTTGAATATGTTGTTCCAGAATTGCAGTTACCATCTCTACGATTAGGAATTCCTGGAAATCAAACAGAAGAACAACTTTTGAAGCTAGATGAACAGAGTGTAAATTTCTATAATTTATTTAATACAGTAGAGTGTCGATTATCCGAATCAATTGGGGACTGGGGTTGTTCGAAAAATCGATATTTCAGATAACCAGTTATGTACGAAAAAATATATTAACCTATCCCATGTTGAAATTTTTCTTCGTTGCATGTCGCTTCGCGTTGAATTTTCGTCGATGTTAAGACTATTGTATTGTTAAAAATTATTTTTTTATTTTGTACAAACAGAATAAATATATTGAAAAATATAAAAACAATAAAAAATCATACTTCAGAAGTTAATTTAGTATCAAAAACGTAAAATATTTGAGTAGTCCAAGACATAGCCAAAGATTGCAGC